TACGTGTGCAGTACATATGACATATGTAACATAACATAACTGGTACATAATAAGTACCATTAACAGCAGTGAGGGAAGGGCCACACACCGAGGCTGTGTGAATTGGAGACTCGAAGCACTGTGCTGGAATCAGAAGCAGCCGTTGGAAATGGAAATGCAATGAAATCACAATCCAACATGCAGGTGTGTGTAGATGTATGCTCCAACTGTGGCACAATATATTTTTCCATCTGTTTTCTGCTGTTTTGAGAATGTACTCCATTGCTAAATCAAGTAATGTAACCTTGGAGAAGAAAACTCCTTTGGGTTAAGGCTTTAGAATAAGAGAATTCATCTGGTTTGAAAATCCTGTCCTTCTGAGGGTCTACTCGTGTCATTTACTTAGTTTAGAAGATGAATATGGCAAAATATATTATTTATTAAAGTTGATATAGGCACTAGGCTGTAGCTTCCTTTTCTCACACGCTCATACATTAAAATTAATAGAAAAGAAGCTTCCAGCAGTTTAAACAGGATTTGCCTATATGGCACTAGGAGTAGGAGTATTTCCTTATTTTTGTAAATTATTTAGCAGCGATACAAATATTTTAAAACTCAAAATTGTGGATGGTCTCTTTGTTTTTTCTTGCTTACTTGTTTGCGTTTTAAACACAGTTGTAATTTCAAGTGCTATTGGTATCTCCTTAGAGAAGTCTGAATGTCTCTCCTTGCAATGTCATAAAGTGTATAATGGCTTTGAGTTTATTTTGCCAATACTGATTATAGTTGCTAATCACTACTGCCAGAGAGGCTAAAAAATAGGCGCTATAATTAGAGTACAGACAGGGTGAATTTTGGAGTTTCTATGTAGGCACCAGGTTTCTAAGTCTGGATTAAATAAAAACTGAGTAAAGGTGGTGGAACTTGCATGTTAGCAAACATCTGTATATTTATCAACGCTACATGGAAGTTTGCGCTTCTGTCATATGCTCATGAGAGTTATATTTGCCTCCTTTACATTGAAGGAATTTTAGAACTGCATTACAGTCCATCTGTGACTATTTCTGCTACAAGCAAAAGACTTGTTTGGGAACTTAATTTTCTTTCTTTTGAACTTCTCCAGCCTTCCAATAGCTGCCAAACCATCCAGTGACTAGAATATCTGTTCACCCACAGAGATAACTCAATTTTCTTCCATGCCTCCATAGTGTGAGACACCATGTTCTGCTAGAGAGCACCATAATGATGTGTGCTGCATAACAAATGTGTAAGTCTAAGGCTCGGTTTGTGAGTGTCCCTAAAACTATATGACCTTGTTCCATAGCCTCGTGTCACAATTTAGGAGTTGGTCCTATATTCTATGAATACACATATAAATACCTACATTTGTAGCTTAAATTCCTAGCAGTTCTTTTTAAGGAGTGTCCCAAAATGAATTTATGGCATTTAAAATCGAGTAACAGTCAGTGTTATCAATAGCAAGACAAGGAGATTAAAACACTGTAGCTTTTAGCTCTTACGGCCTTTTCTCTGTGTTGAAGTGCCACAGGTTACGTGTGGTTCACACAGAATACTGTAGTCAAATTGTGTTCAACAGTAGCATGAGTTGATCTGGACAGGAGCTTCTAAACACACTGTGATTCCCAGACATCAGTTGCCTCCCTATGACCCAGTAGAGCTTCTCTGCTGATTATCAAATGCCTACAGACCATCCCGGTGGTAAAGTGATGTGCAGGGTTCTTAGCCCTGCTTTCTAAATTAATGTAATGAAATGCAGTACTCCACTGCAAACTGACCTCAGAGGTGGAGTCTGGTAAGAGCCAGTAGCAACCTACACAAAACCTCCCCTCACCTTACCCTCCCCATTGCTGTTGCCGTCGCTTGTCAGAAAAGAAAGGTGGAAGTAGTGTAGACCAAAGATACCTTTAGGTGCAGCATGTAGAGCATCCCAAGGAGGTTGCAATAAATTTAATTTGGAAAGATTCAAAAGTTTTCATCAATAAAGATGCAGGACAGATGATTGGGGATGAAATAGTGTAGGAAAGGATGGAGAAAGTTTTGGTTCAAGACCGGGAATAGATTGTATATCTCCTATGAGTGCCGTATATCTCCTATGAGTGCCAACAGAATCTTTGTATCACTTCGCACTATGGCTGTGGTGGTTTAGAAATCCTGTGACTTTAGAGAAACATTAAGCATTATTGGTTTCAGTGAAACATTTTTCACAACTCCAGGAATATTCTCAGTACAGATCAAACTTAGTATGAACCAAGTGCTTTTGCCAAACTTGATGCAGCAGAGAAACTGTATCGTAATGGAGATGTCCATCCCTTCTGCTGCAGATCATCACACGTCCCATATGCAGAAATGAATGCAGATACTGTGCCTTTGAAAGGTATGAATGTATGTAGTGTTGCTTGTGTGTTTATATAGTATTTACTGGGGGGCAGGAGGGAGGACCATAAAGGAAAGAAGCGTGAAGTTCTAAGATATTAACAGGCATTAATGTTAAACTTCCTTTAAAAGCCTTGTGGTTACCAAGACCTGGTTTACATTAGTGCATGTCTTTTAAGAGTCTGTAATGTCTGTTATTATAGCACAGGTGATACCTCCACAATGCCATTTTAGATGAGAGCAAAGGCATGAACTATAAGCAAAAGAAACCAATCTGTTGGATGCAAGTGATGACAGATAAGAACTCAGTTTTTGTAAATTCTTCTCTTTTAATATAGCAACTCACACATCATTCAGTTGGTATGAATTCAGTTGGTGTCTTCATCGTAATGAAGATAGCCTGGATTCCACTTCAATTTCAAGTGTCTAGTCAATGATGAGAGCTAAGTGCTTCTGAAGACTTCGAGGAATGGTTCACAGGGCCTAAGACATGGAGTAGGGAGTTGCTAAACCACTCAGTAGGAGACACCTGACACATGGATTTGGTGGATTTAGAACATGTGAATATAATGCTCAAAGATTTCAAGTCCATAAACACTTTCAAATGTATTTAATTAACTCCTTTTTTACTAACAAGTCTAAATACATATAGCTAATGCACATTTTGAAACTCAATACAGCATTTAACTGACTTAACAACTGTTGCAATTTTTGATGCCCTTCATTGGTTCTTTGTTTCACAGGGGTTGAATAGCACAGTGGAGCAAAATTGTTTCAAATTAATCTTAAGAAGGTGGTTTTGGTTTGTCATCTTCCCTCTCTGACAGAATACAGAAGCAACAATGAATTTGATATACCATACATATATGAAAGCCTTGAGTAAGATAGAAGCCTTTCTTTTCAGCTCCTTCATGTGGCATTCCCATGAGCAATACATGGCAGTAAGTTTTAGCTGAAACTGTTATTATTGCACAACTAGTTAGAAGTTCCTGCTCCACAAGTTCTTTGTCAGGATGAAATGAAGTATCAAGTAGGGGAGTCTGTCCTCATCCAGAAATAGTTAACGTCTTTGTTAATGACTTGGATGAAAGAATAATATGGGGTTTATGTTTTCGGACAATCAGAAGGTAGCATGGTCTTCAGGCACATTTGAAAATATAATCAGGATTGAGAATGATCTTGACAGATTGGAGCAGTGGCCTGAATTAAACAGTAGAGGGTTCAGTAATGACAAAGAAAGCATGACATTTTGTTCAAGTTCTGCAGAAAAAAGAGGTGGGAATAGTACTCAGTCATAAGTTTAAACATGAATCAGCAATATCATAGTGCACTGACAGTCTTGTGTAGTGATGTACAAACAAGAATGGCACAGATTGTTACGATCAAAGTGATCCTTCCAGTCTATTCGCTACTACTACAGCCTTAAGAGGAAGATTTTATCCGGTTTTCAGCAGCAAACATTAAGAAAGATGGGCATTTCCTTTCAATAACAGAGAACTGTGAGCCAAGCAAGAGGTTTAGAAAATGTGACCTAAGATGGATTGAGAGACTTTTTCATTCAGAGAGGAGGAAACTGCAACACGCACAATGAAATGCATCTGAGGTGGAGGAGAAAAGGAAGGTAGCAGAGTGCTTTTCATCCTGTATGGATGGATTAATTTCAAGTGTTGGTCTGGGGGTTCCTGAGCTCTGGAGTATAAACCCAAAGCTGGAAAATGAGGCAATGAGTTGAAGGGTTTAGAGCTCCTGCATAGGTAAAAGGAAAATCTGTCCCGAGAGGATAGCTGAGCGTGGGGATGGTTTTCCTGAGGAAGTTTGAGTATTTTCATCACTGGAGGTTTTCAAGAACAACTTACACAACAGTTCTTGAAATGGTTTAGGCCCTTCCTAGCCTCTTTTTAGACCTGGTTGGATTCAGTATGCTTTATGTTTGATTTTTGGCTGTTGATACCAGCTGCAGTTGCTGAACAGTTTGAGTCTTCCTTGCCGCTTGCTGTCAGTCCCAAACCAGCAGAGCCTTTTCTCTGCTTCTCTCTTCTCTGGTTTAATTTCTGGTCCCTTTACACCACTCTCCATGAATAAAATAAATGAAGAAGGAAAAAAATATTGAAGGATTCAGTATGTATTTTGTTATATTCCTTCAATATTTTGTCATAAATAGAATGAAAGATGGAAGGGAGAAAGGGCTTTTCTAGTCAACTAACTGTAATCTTACTTTTCTTTCTAGTGTACCCGTGGTCTCCAGTGATCACATAGTCCCTACATTTATGTTATTGCTCCAGCAGCTTGATTCTGGGATATTGTGGTCTCCTACAGCATCGCTAACAGTTTGCACAGCAAGAATATTGCATGGCAGTATTGCAATCTGACAATGCTGTGGAAGTTCTTTAGGGGGACTGGTGCAATACAAAGCTTTTATGTATATTATAGGTGGAGTTTTAGTAGGTATCTTTTATGTTCACTCATATGCATTCATAACTACTTTTTATATTGATTGATATCACTACTGAGGCAAGTATATAGCTCTTCTTGGAATGCAAGCACAGTTTTCAAAAGACCAAATTTTGACAGAATTGTACACAAATAATTGGTGTCTTGTTTTTCCCTTCCTTCCCCCCTGCTTTTAGCTGGCTGTGAGGTGGTTGGAACACAACTGCCGCTACCAGTACATGGATGAACTTCTCCAGTATGTCCGCTTTGGCCTTATGGATGTGGATACACTGCATACCGTAGCTCTTTCTCATCCTCTTGTCCAAGCTAATGAAACTGCGACAGCACTTATTAATGAGGCCTTGGCTTACCACCAGAGCGTCTATGCACAGCCAGTTTGGCAAACCAGAAGGACAAAACCTCGCTTCCAGTCAGACACTCTTTACATTATTGGTGGGAAAAAACGTGAAATCTGTAAAGTGAAGGAATTGCGATACTTCAATCCGGTAGATCAAGAGAACGTTCATATCGCAGGGATTGCAAACTGGAGCGAGCTAGCGCCTATGCCTGTAGGGAGAAGCCACCACTGTGTTGCTGTCATGGGAGACTTTCTTTTTGTAGCTGGTGGAGAGGCGGAGCACTCCACAGGGCGCACTTGTGCGGTGAGAACTGCCTGTCGGTACGACCCCCGCACTAACTCTTGGGCTGAGATAGCTCCAATGAAGAACTGTCGGGAACACTTTGTACTGGGAGCAGTGGATGAGTACCTCTATGCAGCAGGGGGCAGGAATGAATTGCGTCAGGTGTTACCTACAGTGGAACGCTATTGCCCCAAGAAGAACAAGTGGACCTTTGTACAGTCCTTTGATCGATCGCTCTCATGCCATGCAGGATATGTGGTGGATGGTCTTCTTTGGATATCAGGTAGAAAACGTTTCACACAGTTTGAGGTACTAACAAAATACCAAAATACTGTCTTGAATGAAACTAATAAATCTTCTTAGGTTTATATGTCAGGATAACTTTTGCCTTAGGAGATGGGTGTTTCAAAGAATTTAAGCCTGGAAGCATAAAATCAAGCCTGATTAGAAGTGTAGGAGCATAACATACCTATACAATATTTTTTGTCTGCTAAATATCTCTGTGTTTCCAAGCTGCATATATCATATGTGCTATCTCCAGTTGCCATTCATAAATCACAGTGAATCGAAATGATAATGCACTTCTGGACAAATTTCAGATGACAAATTCTGTGTGCTTCCTTAAAAAAAAAAAAAAAAAAACAAACAACCAAGACCCAGTTTCTGTAGTATGATCTGGTATCACTGCATTTATTCCTGATAATGAAATGGAGAATTAAGTGCTTGTGGGCTTGTGTAGATCCAGGGCTTGAAGGCAGGTGTATGAGGATATTCTAACAAAGGTCATCTTGGCCTGTTACAAATCATGCACGGCTCTGTCCATAACAAGTGCACAGGACTGCCTGATGTAATAATCATAGCTTTATGGCACAGATACCTGGAAGTATAGGCCTTGTAATCTTAAACTAACGTATCATTTGCAACTCAGTCTGATGTAGTTTTCATTTTACATGTGCACATTGATGTAATGGAGTTGAGGACATTGTGCCATCAATCTTTGTAGTGACTTTTCTGTTATTAGTGGCTTTGGTACGAGGTGCTGTCTACAGAAAATTTGACAGGGAAAAAAACCCCCACCTTTTAGTAAGAAGTGTCTCATGGAAGGTTATAAAGTTGTAATATTTATCAAGGAAGTTAATGAGTAAATGGGGCCAGCCCTTGAGAAAAATGTTCAGTGATTGCCATCTTCACTGTATATACCCCTCTGGGGATTTTAATCCAGTCTGGGATCCCTCTGGTGAAAAGACGGTACATGAATGAAAGATTAAGTCAGCTACTTAGGCCTTTGCTTGTGCTTCTGCCCAGGGAAGTTGTTGAGTCACCATCCCTGGAGGTATTTAAAAGACGTGTAGATGTGATGCTTAGGGACATGGTTTAGTTGTGGACTTGGCAGTGCTAGGTTAACGGTTGGACTCTATGATCTTAAAGGCCTTTTCCAATCTAAACGATTCTGTGGTTCTCGAAGTATGTCATTTAGGTTAGCAGAGCTCCTTGCAGATGTATCTTTCTGCCCGTATGGATTAAGTGCCTTATGGGAATGGATTCCCAAGTATTGGCGGGGGAGGTAGCAGGTATCTATTTTTATACATATGCACTGAAATAATGAATAATGACTTTGGAATTAAAAGCATGACAGAACACACAAAATCACTGAGATCCCTGGCAGGTGCTTGGGTTGTTTTCTTCAACAGCTGGCATCGAAGGAGTCTTGTAGAGTTTGTGCTGTGTGTTAATCCTGAAGTGTGCTCATGGTGGGCTTTGAGACCCAGGTATGGTACAGAAACAGGGTTTCTGTTTTAGGGTACCAGCTGAGTGTGTTCAGAGCATTACCCTGTTTATTCACTACCTTTCCTATTTTATCAGTGGAGAGAGATGTGTGCCTGTGATGGGCAATTCAAATACATGGATGCTACTACTGCTGTGTCTTGTTGTCCCCCCCCCCTTGTGGTTTACATTTGTTAGTCTCTATTTATGAAAAACAGGACTTTTTAGGAAATTGTGTTAAATGTATTCGTATAAAATCATTGAACAAGCACTAGAAACATCTATCAGGGTATGGTCCTTGCTCCAGTACATGAAAAAAAGTAGAATTTGTTTCTTTTTTTTTTTTTTTTTTTGAAATTTTTAAGTCAAATGTGGAACTGGCTGAAGATTACTTTTAATCTTTCCAGGTATGCTAGGAAAGGGAAAATTATGCTGAGAATTAATTAATGTGCTTAGTTATGTAAGTGAAATGCATGCCTGCCTGTGTGTTTAAATACTATCTGCATTTATATAATGAAGCAGTGTGATATTCTGTTCAAGGATATGCCTCTAATACAGCTGTAGAATCAGGGGAAGAGGTAAGTGGAAGCCTATTAGATGAACTCTTTAAAACTGGGCAAAACAACAAAAAATATATTATCTGTATTGTTCCATTTATATTTAAAAATGCTACTGCCATAACTTCCGTTGTAAAGTCACGGTAAGGAGCAATGTTTTGGCAGTGGAATAAGATAGACAGGACTTTTCGGTTGCATTTTGTATAGTTTTGAGAAAATGCTTAGCAGTTTTGAGTTGCTAGATTCTGACAGGTTATTATGAATTACAGAGCATTCTATGCAATACTTCAGTAGGGTATTGATCTGAATTACGTACTCACAGATTGAAAACTGGGTTCTGTGTATTGAAGAGAGTTATTTTATAAATAAAAGTAGATGGAGATGCAATAACTGTAGCTAGCTTTCTATAATTAATTGCTTAGGGCTAGAATGTAGCTTGCTGTACGTGTATATTCAGGGATGGGGGAATAGTACAGAGAGATGGTTTATTGTTCCAAAAATATCAGTAGTCACTGTGCAAAAACAATCCACTGTTCATCATCAAATGTAAAGTGTTAGCATAAGAGTAATCAGTAATGCAGGAGGGAACCTAATTTTGAAGTATGTGGCCTAAAATTAAGTAATTAAAAAAATTAGTCTGAGTTAGGGATGTTTCTGAGCTGTATCCCTGCTGCTTTTTCTGGGAAATCGGGTCATCAGCAAGAGCTCTCAAAGTCAGTCTGCTTCTACCAGCTGGCAAGGTAACCATGAAAATGTGCCCAGTTTTTTAGTAAGTGAATAAATTAAATAGTGATAATATAAGTTTCTAGCCCTTGTATTTGTGGAGAGAGTCATCAAAACACGACCCGCACACAGATCATCTACTTGTTCTATAGCCAAAGCATCAGCGCCTCTGCTATGGCCCCTTGTCTTCTAAAGGCTTTGCTAATCAAAAGCTGACTAGACTTAAGGGGTTTCTCTTATTATTGTTATTATTGGGATTCATTGTTGGCTTTACTTTGCTGCTCCTTTGGGACAAATAAGAGAAGGAATAAAAAATAATAGAGCATAAAATCATGGCAAAGGCAGCAGGGAAGGGAAGTGTGTTAAAATGCTGTAGGCACACGCTGGCAGTAGGAGATGGGTGGCCAGTGACAGAGGGACTCCAAAGATGTCACCACCCCTTTGGGGTTTTTAACCTGCCAGAAGGCTCAGAGGGAGCCTTCTGCACTCTGGAACTAGTCAGACCCTCTGGTCAGCACAAGTGGGTTCAGTTCTCGAGTTTTCTGAGCTCCGTATATTGTGGAACATTTCATATTTGTGTCATTATTTTTTTCTTATCTTTTTTTTATTTTTTCACAGCCTGCATTTTATTTTATATTCTTATTTTAAAAAGTAGATGAGAATTCATTAAAATAAGTTTTCTATATTGACAGTACAGCATCAGGCAGATGGTTTTGAAATTTTATAGAAAGATTAATCTTACAGGCCCCTGCTAACATCTGACACCGTGACCCATTTCACAAACGAATTGCATGCCACATGCTTGAAAAGTGAAGTATTTGAGTGGAAGAGAAACAAAATGCTCCAAACCCTTTGGAGTTCAACATTACTAACGATCATTCCCTATAAAAGCAGGGAAATATTTTCCATAAGAGTGAGAACTTGAACTGTGCCCGTTTCCCTGCATCCTCCGCGGTGCGCACATGCAAATCTGGAGACCTACTTTTCTATATACGTTAACCTTCCTCCTCCCGTATAGGTGTAGTCCCCGTGGGGACAGAGAGGGGCAGGGAACCTCTGCCAGGCAGTTCAGCTCTGGGCCATTCCCGCACTTGCAGCTGGGGATAACGAGGCTTTCCCTCTGCCTCAAGTGCTCAAGAGATTAGCACATGAAAAGTCTTCTCGAAAGCAAAGTATTATGCTGCTGTTTCGCAGAGGTCTGAGTTGCCTGACCTTAAGTGTGTCAGCTAAAATCACATCCTGACGTGCACATGGAAACTCAACTTGGGGGGGGTAAACAAGCCAACCCTACCCCGTACAGTTGCTTCGTATTTAACAGCTTTTTCTTCAAAATTCAAGATTCTTTTTTTATCATTATTATTTCTTCCCTAACGGTGGAGATTTTGACCAAGGAAATAATGGAGATCACGTATCTTGGAGAATTATTCTGAGTTTGCAAGTGGTTTGGGGGGAAGAGTATTATCTTACTATCAGTATGCTGTTTGTTGTGAGGAGAAGAAAATTTCTTCTCTTTAATTGCCTATAAAATTGTTTTATGAAAAATAGATCTGGAATAAATAGGAATCTACAGTGTCTAACCATCTGTATATGGAACAGTGTTTCTTCATTATTATTTATATTATTATTCTAATATTTGAAGGAAGATAATGGATCTCACACCTTTCAAGCATGGACATTATAGGTGTGATGCCATTGATTCTCCTTAGATTGAATGTAAACATCAGGTTTTAATGGTTTTTAAAAAAAGAACCCACAAACAAACTAGGGCTTGTGCCCCTCTTGTTTGCAGCTGTATTGCATCTGAGGTGGAACAGTGTTAATTAGAGCTGCTGGTGGTGTCTTCCAGGGCACTCGTTAGGGTGGGAGAATATGTTTCAGCTCAGCTGTCCTCACTGCACTTGGGCTGGCTGAAGTAAAAGGCAAGGGGCTTGCATGTTGAGGAAGGATTATCTTGTGTGTAACACACAGACACGTAAGAAAGGAGAAATTTCTATTTAAAATAACAGAGCACCTTGGGGCGAATGTCGTGGGTTTCTATATATTCCCTGGATTTGCTGGAAGGAATACACGTGGGAGCTCTTTGCCAACATGTAGTTTTACACGTCTCCCAGCAAACTCGGATTCGTGCGTGCAGCCTAGCACTGGGGACTTCGGAGAGAGTTGTGAGATTTTCTGGGGGATTTGGATTGGATTAGCTTTCTCAAGTCATATGGGGGTCTTACTAGGATGTCATAAATATGGATTATAAATTTTCGATTGGGAAAATGCTGTTGAATCTACTGCCTCCCACCCTTCTCTTTTTGGAGGTGTCTTTATTGAAGGTGCTTTTCAGTGCAGTTTGTGGGAAATAACCAAAATATTTCCCATGTGTGGGGAAGGGCTGGACAAGGCAGATCTTGGACTCCTCCAGGACCTCTCCATGTAGAGGGGCACTGTTGCATGAGTTGGGAACTTAGGGTCTTGGAGGGCTTAAAAAGCAGGGTTTACAGCTTGCAAGGGAGTGAGCAACAGTGATTGTGGCAGTGTCAAAACACTGTAAGCCCATGGGTTGGATGCTGGGCTTCCTGTGCATGTGTTCTCGCAGCTGTGAGAGCAAGAAAGACGCAGGCTTGTCCTGAAAGTACTTCTTGCCTTCTGGAAACTCTAGTCCTCAAAGCAAGCTGCTCATGTCAAAGTGGTGCAATCATCGCTCTCAGTTTATAAAATGCAGCGAGCGCTGACCAAACTGTAAATTTTCTGCCATTTACCCAGCCAGACTTTTTTTTCTCTTTCCTTAACTGATGGGTTACTACCACAGTAGCTGCTATTGCTTGAAATCAAAATTAATAGCATGGTTTGTATTTTTAAATGCTTCTCTTCAAGTGTAGTTATGATGCCTCCCTGCCTTTCCCTTCCTTTCCACATAGAAAGCACTGCAGAGAAGTTTAAGAAATTATCTCAGAATTACCCCATTTTTTTCTGAGAAAGAATGTATTATTTTTAGTACCATTTAAACTTTTTTTTCCTTTTCCTATTTTTTAAGAGACGTATTGCTTTTCTTTTGCCCTTTCCCAGCTGCCTGGAAGATTTTTAAAAAAATAGTTCAAGAGGACATTGCAGACTTGTTACATTTGAATTTTGGCAGAAAATTTTAAACTTTTGCTATAGCACTTCAAAGTTAGGAGGAACTTGAGTTTGAAAATTGATGCAGATATAAGATGGCATATTTAATGACAGATGTATCTATAGAAACCTGTTAAGATGCAGATTATCCCCCTGGGGAGGGGAGATCAAAACTGCCAATCTATAAAATATACTTGTTAGGGGAAGGCATGGAATCTATCTCTGCGAGCACTTTGATTGCAGGGGACAGTGTAGCAGCATGTGGCATCATAACCTAAGAGCAGACAAATCAGCTTGATGACTTTCAAAGCCAAGAATACTGCTGGAGGCAAGGGTACTCCAGTCTAGAAGAAATTAAAACATATAGAGACTGTTATTAATTCCAGATCTATTTTTGTGTAGTCAAATCTGTATGCAAATCCTTAGCATCTCATTTTGGCAGATTAATCTAAAAGTGAAGAGAGGTATGTGAAGGGAATGTAATGATAAAACACCACAGATGAGCAATATTGCAGGGGAAAAAACGTAAGCTGTGTACTTGATATGAGGGGCTCTTTGTGAAGAGAGGCAAATAATTTTGCTTATTTGATTATTTCATTATTTTATAAGGAAGCAACCCCCTTCTTTCTCTTCTTCCTCCACATATTTCCCCCCAAAGTAAGGTGTTCTTTCTGAATGGAAATACAAGACCCAGCGTTGTGTTTCCAGTGCATCTCCTGTAGTTTAACATTCTGGAGGTAATCATCCAAATAACTACGATTTTTATTTTTCAAAATACTAATCTGACACCTCGTTTTTAAACATTACGCTAGGAGTGAAAATAACTATGTAAAAGAAAATCAAGTTACAAAACAGATAGTAGAAAAGATTGTTTTGTGCATGTGGCTGATGGCCACTAATACTGTGACGGCTGCACAACAGTGTAGAGACAAATAACAGATTGTGAGATTAGATATGGGAACAGTCATTGCTTTCCAATGCGTGTTCTTGCGTGTGTACTTCACAGGTGCTGTGATGGGCAGTGCGTGGCGTAGTGTGATGGAAACAGTTTGGAAAGACTACATCTCATCTCAGCTGTCTCGTAGCCTGTAAGCATCTCTGAGCTGGGAGCTTGTGCTACCGTCCATGTGTAGGGGCCCCGGTACAGGCTGGTGCTTGCAGAGGTGTGCCCAAATAACAGTGTTATTCCTCCCTGCTACTGCGGTTGAAGACAAGATTCTTGAATAGGTTTGTCTGTAGTTTCTGCTATCCATCGGTGGGATTCTTGGCCTCACTCCAGTTATTTGAAGTGATCAGAGGGTACATCTATGTTAGCAAGTAGCTAAGCCCAGTAGGACAGATCAGCAGACAAAACCTTGGTGCCCAGTTCTCTATATCTACTCCATGTACAGTTCACATTTTTTGCTTTGGACTAGATTTATTCTGGTGCTCTGGACCAAACATTCCCAGTGCTCAGCTGGTACAAAACCATCCGAAAGACCAGTTGTTATTTCACACCCTTATCCCAGTTAGGAACTGGACCACAACTGGTGCACATCTGGAGTAGAGATTCTGGTTTAACTTGAATGCACACCAGTACCGCCCTGCAGCCTGAAATGAGGTGGGGGAGTCGCTTCAAAATCACAGTATGGCTCTGAACCAAAATGCTGCACTAGGTGCAGCTGGAGGCTGGCAAAATGAGGATTCCCCAGCACGGAGGCATGTTAAGAGTGGCTGGGGATAAAAGAAAAAACCCAATGTGCTCAGTAGGACTGGGCCATAGCTCAGACGGCAAACTGCTCTGCCGCTTCTCTGTCTGAAACAGGGGATGTCCTCGCAAAAAGCGAAGCATAAACAAATATAATGACAGAGGAAATTCCTTCCTCTCATTGCTGTGGATTTTGTCTGTCATTGGCACATGCTGTTAAAACTGTAATATAAAAAGTTTGTCTGTCAATACGAGTTTCAGTGGTGCGTGGCTGCTGGCGTGTCCTAGTTAAGTCCAGACCTTCTGGTAGGATGAAAAGTGAAGTGCAGCTTGCAGGCGTTATTCCTGGTCCCATCTTCCTGTGGGCCCAGGGTGGTGACAGAGGGGGGACTGGGACCTGTGGCAGTGCTGCAGTGATACCACGTCCCCAGGAGGCTTGAGCACACTCAAGAACATGTTTACGCTGGTAGGATTACAGACTTAAGACTGGAGAATTTTTCCACCAGTTTACTCAGTGAGATTTGCCATTTAAAACCAATAGAGTACAGGATGATCAGGGATTAAACATCTACTGTGTTGAGGTAAATAGCTGGTTTGCAGCATCTACTTGGATCAGACTCTATTCTGGGCTTTTCTGAGGTGCTTTATACCTTGCTTTCCAAACATTATTGAAAGGTACGTATGCTAAATGGTAGTATTGTTTCTGGTCACTATGGAGGAACCTCCCAACATAAGTCTACAACTAAACCAGGAGATGTTCTCTCTGTAATACAAACTAAATACAGAGTTTCCTTCAAGTATATAGGTGAGTGCAGTTGCACAGACAGGGTTGCGCTATGCTTTCCAGCTGACAGTGGTGTCCCGCGTCATGCTCCTGGTTAGGCAGAGCTCCTCTCCGACCTCTTCCTTCTCTCTGATGCAAGCCCACCTCCTCCTCCTCCTTTAAACCATGTCACACACTGCGCGCTCCTTGGAACAGGACGGGTTTTATCTTCATGTCTTGACAACGGCTGAATGCACAGTCATTTATAAACCGATCAATTTTCGTCTTGTTTTTAGCCCATAGAATTAGCTTTATAAAGGAAGTGTGTGTGTGTGTGTGTGTGTGGGGGGGGGGGGGGGGTCTTTTTTTGCTTTTGTGTTTCTAGATGTTTGACAAACGTGCTATTTCTTACCTTGTAACCAGATTAAAAAGTGCAGTGGAATGTAAGCCTAAGTGGTGGTATGCAATGTAATTATGTCAGCAAATGAACCCTAGAATTGGTTATTTTGCTGAACCTGATCTTGGTCCTGGTTTTGCTTATACAAAAAAATGTAACCTGTATAAACTCTTTCATAGGAGGAGTAACAAACACTGCACAGTATCAAAACAGGCTCATGGTCTATGATCCGAAGCAGGTGGGTATCTGTGTTGTATGTGTTTTTCTCATATGTTTTGCTTCAAACAGGTCTCTTAGCAAACATATCCAAAGATTTTGTAAGGCTAAAAATGCTGACCATTTGAAATAGTGGTGTTTTAAATTCACTTTGTAGTGATGTGTAAGTTTAACAGAGTAACGGAGACCCTGACTCTTTATTATAGTTTTTTAAGCCTGTAGGTGTTAGAAACATGTAGCTTAAATACAGACATGTGCTTTAAATCCCCTGTATTTATCAGTATTTATTTTGCTTGTTCATTTTTTGGTAATCCAGCAGCCCAGGGCAATGTATACTCAAAGTCAGTGTCACAAAACTGCTCCTTGTCATTGGCATTTCTGCTTTGAATTGCATATATGGGCATTTTGTTTTCTGCATACCTTCAGAACTATACTACCTGGCCGTGACTTATTCTGCTGACTGCAAGGGTGCCTATCATTTCATTACCCAAGCACCTAAAATATCTTTTAGGGATTATTTCATACATTATGTATGTGTTTTGATTAGGTTAGCATGGCTCAGTAACCATTTCAGAGGGTTAGGGCACGGTTATGCCCTCTTGCTTGTATTAGGAATTAAAAGTCCTAAGCTTGCAATCAGAGTTGCATAGCCTGATTTACACCCGTGTGGAAGAATATCGACTTTGCTGATTGTAGGATAGGGGCTTTGATTGCTGTATTTGGAACCAAATTGTGCCAGGAGATATGTGGTTCCCACTAACTTTTTAAAGTATAGCACATATGGGTCCTGCAGCAGAAAGCAGGCAATGACATACCTGCCTCTTTCTTTTCGAGGTACAGTTTTATGCATCGATTGTACAAATCCTGATTCGGTCCTAAATCCAAGTAGTAATTACAGGCAGCAATCTTACTTTGCTTATGAGGCGGACACTGTTTCTCTGTTGTGTATCTTTCGCTTTGATTCTTTACTTGCTGACGTGAAAGTTGCACCCCAAAATACCAGTGGCAGGGCTACTTCAGCATGCCCTGTCGATGGTGAGAAACCCGGCCTGGCGTGTAAAGAGTTACAGAGGAAGTGTGTGCTCGCATTCTTCAAATGAGGTCGGCTTCGTGTTTGTACACACAAGCTCTTTTTAAAAATTCTGCTGGCATATTGTTTACGGTGGGTACTGGAAACCATCACATCTGCTTGCATCTCGCACAGAATCTCAATAGCTCTATCATTCAGCACCAGCGCTTGCTTCTGCGCGAGGCCTTTGTGGCGAGTCGATAATGCCTGCCATCTGCCACAGAGCACACAGCTACCTGCCAACAAGCCGGCTGGGGTGACCTCTGCTTCCCCACCACTGATTAGTATTCACACGCTGGCTTATTAGAAATGACCCCACCAGGCCCCTCGGTTTCTTTGCCTTTGCAGTGCTTTGCGGCTCACCTGGCAGGCACTGCAGTGGAGGAAGCTAAAGATATAATCAGGGGATGCAGGCAGGCTTTGCAAAGCAGATGGTGTCTATAGTCTGGTGTTAAGAGACTGGACTACTAATGCAAACATTAATGCCTAATATTCAACTATTACACGTTGAAATGTATAGCTATATATTGTGGAGGTTAAAAGGCAGTAGTATTAGAGGCTCTTGAGTTACCGCAAGCAGTAGCACATGCAACACAAAGAATTTCCTCACTGATTTTAACTTCCTGCACTTAAATAAATTAATCTCATCCATTGCCAGGTTGTTTGATTTGGTAAACCTAGCAGAAGCAATTGTTTTCTTAGGTTTAAAATACTGTGCTTTAACCCTTCTTCTTCCATGTCCTCTTGCCCCTCCCCTGAACAGGTAGAATTCTTGAATGTTGTTAGCCAGGGTGAAAAATATGCAAAAGGACGTTACTTTGTAAGTGCCCGCAAATACAGGGTTAGCATTAAACCAAATACATGAATCATTTGAAGAAGATTCTTTAGGAAATTATTTTTCCCTGTTGCTTCATTCCCCAAGGATAAGATGAAATAAGCTTGTGAATAACAAAAGGTAGAAGAATCTCTCTTCTCTCATAACAGAGCTAGTTGGTATAGATAATTTTAGCGCTGTATACAAAGGAGACATCTAATAGTCTTGCTTAAGGAGAATTAGCTACTGAATTATAGAGAAGAAAAAAAACTTTGAAACCTGATGAGCTAAACAGAAAAAATACAGAGCAAGAAATACTATTAAATTAATGAATTTAAATGTGAGAACTGTAAACCACACGTTGAAAGTCCAGTATGTCTAGTCAGTGTTATAACCAACATGCATGTCTAACATATGAACACCACAAGCGTACGCACTTGTGATTTCTGGCCAAGGGTAAGGAGAACACCGCTAACACGCTGCTATTATTGTACTGCTAATATAGGTACGTCGTTGAGCAGTGCTGAGGCAAGTTCTTTTTTCCTTTCCAGAATAAGTGGTTAAGCCGTAGCCCGATGTTGCAGAGGAGAGTGTATCACTCCATGGCTGCTGTCCAAAGGAAACTTTATGTGTTAGGTGGGAATGATCTGGACTACAACAATGATCGGATCCTGGTTCGGCACATAGACTCCTACAGCATAGATGCTGACCAATGGACGCGCTGCAGCTTCAACATGTTGACAGGCGAGTATTGTACACCAAAAGAGGAAACTCGCTACTATTAGAATAAAACATCAATTCTTTTCCCTTTAGAGGCCTTTATTATGTGGAACTCCACGACCTTGCCTCAATTGCCTCTGATTTAGGGGCCATCGTTGGCCAACAAGACACTTTTAATTACTGTTCTGGCATTCAGTGTTCTACAAAACATTTGTCTTAGGACATTGTAGGATAAATTTTTAAGAAGGTGCACATAAATGTAATTTAATTAAGCCATCAAAAATTCCTTGTCGTAGTATTACCAGTACTTATTTTTGATTCTCCAAAAGCTTGCCTGCACTGATAGATTTAGCTCCCTGTTTGAGTGTTCACAGGCAGATCCATCTCTACCATGATATCATTTTGTAGTGCTTCCTGCTGGCATTATAGAGCATTGAACTCCATTAACCATCACTTATTGCTAAGCAATATCTTCTTAATAAATTACCTGAAAGGAGGTGTCTTTGTTGGAATTCTGTCAAGTCAGGGATGACTTGAGTATCTTGATTAGCTATGGATCTGTAAAGTTCCTCTTGACCGTCATTAGGAGGAACTGTTACAGTAGCAACTTGCAAAGCGCTCCAACTCACTGTCCCTGCCACCCAGGCCACCAGATTTCACCGCCACTTGATACGATTCCCAGACGTACTACTTCCTCAAATCCCTGGGAGAGACAGGTGCCTGACACATTCTCAGAGAAGCACCACCAGCAGCTTTGCAGAAGAGGATGCATTTCCAGGACAGCATTAACGTTGGGGCCATTCTCTTGTGCAGCAGACTTGGAGCTCAACTAGTAACAGTGTTGGCTGCCAAGAAGTTTCAGCATGGACTGCTACAGGAGTCGTAGAACTGAACGTACCTCACTTTTCATCCTCTTCCGTTTGGCATTGCATTCATTTCTGAGATCCACCACTGAAAAGGATACAAAGGATGTAGGAGCTTAACTAGAAGCTCAGGATAGCTAGAAACACCACGTCAGAGAAATGAACATCTGACAAATAACGGTCACCTTATGTCATTTTCCTCCTGGTAGGTTTAAAAGCTGCTCTAGTGACAACTTTGTTCTTTTTAAGATATTACATTGGGTTTCTTAATCTCTGGGATCTGGAGAAGGGTTGCTTGGTTTCTGAGTCAGGTCATCAGAGTAATTCATGGACATTGAGGAGAGAGGCATGGATTAAAAAGGAAGAGTAACAGACTGTCAAACAGAACTAGTTTTTCATATCCCTTTTGCTCTCTGTTTAATTATTTTATTTTATTATCTGGAGACATTGAGAGCCTTTGAGAAGGACATAATCTGACTTGCAACTGCAAAAGCGCTGGCGCTGCAGGCACCTCTGTTCTGGAGCTGACCCTATACCACTAAATGCTGTGAGATAGTAGCCTCTCCTCAGATATGACCCGGTGGGTTGCTTCCACAGCCTGCACCTTGAGAAGCCATCTAAGCCTTTCTTTGCATCTCTGCAACTGGTGGTAAATGTGCCTGTTGCACTCTGTAGTGCAGATTTTTTTAAGGCTGTATTTATCCTTCAAAACTTCCAAACTTGTTCAGGAGACCGTTGCTATGGGAATGAGCTTGCACTGCAGCTTCTGCAGTGTTCACCATACTTGTACCTGGGGGAACAGGGGGATGAACAGGTCTGGGCAGAACGGGAGGGGCGTTCAGCTCTCGGCCTACGTGTCTATCTGGATGTGCGTGTGTGATAGTAGTTGAGAGGCAGGTGGTGAGCTTGCCTCTCACCTATGAAATACCGGCGTACAAAAACCTGTGCCATTGAGAAGACAGAGCAGATGGTCCCCTGCACAGCCTCAGTTTATTGCTCATCCAGGGTAGCTCTCCGGACAGCACTGTGTGGGGCTCCCGTGGAGAGCAAAGAACAGCCCTTGCACTTCACCTTCGCTGCTGCACGTTGTGAATTCTGAAGCAGCCGAGTTACTGCCGGGTGCGTTTTCATCATATGACAGAACTCCAACATTCAGTGTTAAAAGGGTTAATTAAACACTGAAAGTGGTTTCTATTTCCTTTTTTGCTTTAGGTCAAAATGAGTCTGGAGTCGCCGTCCACAATGGTAGAATATATTTAGTTGGCGGCTATTCGATTTGGACAAATGAGCCTTTGGCATGTATCCAGGTGAGTGATTTAGGTTTCTTTTAAAGTTTTTTCCAATAATTTTGCAAGGATACATTTTGCACAGAGGTTATTCAAAAGGGAAAATGCACGTGAAGTGGAGAGATTAAGGATGTTTCTTATGCAGCCACTGAACCTGCATAAACACAGAGAGGAAATACTGTGGATATTAAAAATATTTCCAGGTGAGCCATTTGATCCAATTATTCTAAGCTATTCTAGTAAAACAGGGTTGAGGAGTCTCTCCTTTGGCAAGGTTTGGGTAAAATAGCGGGTATATATTCTCAGGTTACACAGTCAAGTTCAAAAGTAAAAAGGTTGCAGAAATGGATGATGGGGGATGATTGGGCTAACAATTTTTCAGCCCATCTTGTGATTTTATTTTTTTTTTCCTCTCTCCGAGTTGTCTTTCTGAAGAGCAGCCAGAGTTAACGAGTTGTTCTTTGACAAAGTTCAGTCAGCCTGCAACCTGCCCCAGCGCTTGTTGCTTCAAAGCTTGAATGGGAGTTTTTTGATCCCTGCTGTAGGCAATAGGTTGTCAAACAAACTCTTCTGCTCTCTCATCCTGTATAACAGCAGCTTACCTGCAGATCCATGGCTTTCAGATATTCCTGTACAGAAATTAGAGATTCTTATCTTTCTGCATTTTTCTGAGTGAAGCAGATCTGCATCACAGCCATCGCTTTGTGACCAGCTGGGCAGTTAGAGACAGAAACTCTTGTTTACATCTCAGTTTCTGCACTTTTGCTGATAAACAACATTTTCATTAGCTTTCAACTAAGGATTTTAGGATTTCACCTCTAAACTGTCCCATAAGGCTAGAAGTTAGACTTAGCATAAGAAAGGAACGTATTACATGTCGAGCTGCTGGTCGTGTAATGAACACTTACTAGCCTGAGTTTGTAAAGAATAGATCATGCAAGGAGTTAAAACCGTGTTCTGGTCACAGTATAATTTTGTTTTACTAAATTGTTGGATACCATACCTAATGATTTTTATTGGAAAAATTCATTCAGAGTGGCTTCACTAGCTGATATACAGTGCTTCAGATGGAGTAATAGCACAATATCAAGGCGGTGGCTGTACGCCACCAACACGCTCATTTACAATCGGCAGGTACTTTGCAGTATTGCACCTGGGTTTAGATACTGCTTAGTGACAAGTGAAAATGATCCTGGGATCTTGCTTTCTTAAATGGACATTTGTCCACATCCCCAAGCTGGTTGTGAACTGGCAGCCTGCCCGAGACGGTCCCCGCATTAAAGGGAAAAGAAGTATAATGAGTGTTTTGGCAGAGCTGTGTGCGCTGCCCCTTCTCAGTTGTTGGCAGCGTGCCTGGCTTTAACCAGTAAAACTAGCCCTTTTATCTTCAAATTCAGCAAATTTGAGGTTCCTTTCTCCTTTGGAAGAAAAAAAATCCACTTTTTCCATATGTCTTCATTTTCTTTAAGTCATTCACTTATTTGGCCTTTCCAACTTCGGTAGAGCTCCCTTGCTCCCTATATACCACCAAGCTGATAAATGATTCGTACGTTGTGGTAACAGTAGCACTTCTGTGCGGAGTACCCTACTTGCATGGTTGCACGCTCTGCTGCCAGGAAGCAGGATCCAATGTCACTGCCTGCTACTGAATGCCTGAGCTAGGATAAGATTTGGGTGATGAGGGCAGCAATAAATTGCCAGATCCATAAATACGACTTAAAAGTGATCTGAAATTACCTTTCTGTTGGCATTAATAGTACATATATGCGGTGTGTGCCAGCAAATTTGTTTCAGCTTTCTTCTGTGGTCCCTGAAGCTATTTGCATGCTTTGGCCTGCAGGTGCTGGATGTTAGCAAGGAAGGGAAGGAAGAAGTGTTCTATGGGCCTACGCTCCCCTTCGCTTCCAACGGAATAGCAGCATGCTTTCTTCCAGCTCCTTATTTCACGTGCCCCAACCTTCAGACTCTGCAAGTGCCTCACCACAGGATCGGCACAATGTGAGACACGGAACGTGCACTTCATAAAATCGGAAGTAGAGGGAGGAAAAAATCAAACCCTGTGTATGGAAGGGTTTCTCTGGATCAGTGAAAAGAACCAATCCACACGGGCTGCTGCCTTACCTTCACACATCTGTCTTTAAGTCGGATCACATGAGGCAGGAAGGAAGCTACAAAAACTGTCTGCAGTTTCTCTCCGCTGCCTCAGATGAAGAAGCATACACGTGAGAGCATTTGGCATTTCTGCTGGTGACTACTTGCTGCCTGTCTCTACTTCATGTTCTTATGCAACTTCGTAAGGCATTGTGAATGCTTTCAGCTCCTCCTGGGCTGCTGCTCTTTGGAGTCTGCACGTTCAGTTGTTCACCAATGGCACTGTCAAAGCTGATAGAAAGCTGTGTTTATGTTGACAAAGATGATATAATACTATGGTAATTATGCAACTTACTTGATACCTTTGGCAAAAAGAATAACAAATGTGTTAACTTCCAATTCCAAACTCCATCGTTTACAGTTTCTCATTTAATAATACTTCATTTGAAATTTAAATACTGCAAAGCAGATTAAAACAAAAATAAAAAACAAACAAGCCCTATAGTATAGGAGGAACAGATAAAAATTGTCTCAGCTGAAAGACAAAGACACTGAAGCGTCGTGATTAAACCCAAGTCTGAACAGAATGTGTTTGAGAATCTAAAGATCATTTGGGATGTCATTTACCAAGGTCTACTATCAAATAAATGTTACTTTCTGTCATATGATCAACTCCTCCTGACAGCTGCAGTCTTTTAATGGTGGAGAACAGCCTCTTTACTGTATAATTAAAATGTGCCATTTCCTTAATATTTTTAATATCCAGTTTGCAAGGGGTCACCACATTTACAATTATCAACGAACAGTCTCATTTTGTCCAACATATGGTCCCACAAATCACTGGTCTCCAGAGGCTAAACAGGTGTAGAACAATGTCAATATTTATTTATTTATTCTTTCAGTTTATATAGTGTGTCTCTGTTGTGGTTTAACCCCAGCCGGCAACTAAGCACCACACAGCTGCTTGCTCCGTCCCCCCATGGGACGGGGGAGAGAATCAGAAGAGTAAGTGAGAAAACTCGTGGGTTGAGATAAAGACAGTTTAATAGGTAAAGCAAAAGCCGCACACGCAAGCAAAGCAAAACAAGGAATTCATTCACTACTTCCCATGGGCAGGCAGGTGTTCAGCCATCTCCAGGAAAGCAGGGCTCCATCACGCCTAACGGTGACTTGGGAAGACAAATGCCATCACTCCAAATGTCCCCCCCTTCCTTCTTCTTCCTCCAGCTTTATATGCTGAGCATGACGTCATATGGTGTGGAATATCCCTTTGGTCAGTTGGGGTCAGCTGTCCCGGCTGTGTCCCCTCCCAACTGCTTGTGCACCCCCAGCCTACTCGCTGGTGGGGTGGGGTGAGAAGCAGAAAAGGCCTTGACTCTGTGTAAGCACTGCTCAGCAGTAACGAAAACATCCCTGTGTTATCAACACTGTTTCCAGCACAAACCCAAACCACAGCCCTGTACTAGCTACTGTGAAGAAAATTAACTCTATCCCAGCCAAAACCAGCAGAGTCTCCATTCCATACTCCAGGCATATGCCAGTTCACAGTAAATACTCTAACCTGTTATATTTTGGCTTTGCTTGGCTACTGCAGCCCCTGTCTCTTATTTCCATCTTTTATTTCCGTATCTACAACAACTTCAGTGTTTGTAAATATTAACCAAGCATGTAATTAAGTCTTTCTCTATTTATGATTTACGGGTACTCGGCACTTCTCTGCTTTACCTACTGGTCTGTTCCCTGCCACCGTGCTATCTGAGCAGACCTATGAAATTTCTACTGACACTCATGCAAATGCCACGTGCAGAATATGCTGCAGCAATAGCTGCACTTGCTGGACAGGAAGAGGTTTGACTTCGTCCAGTGAGCAGTGTTTCCAAATCAAATGCATCTTTTAACTTTGAAGGGTCTGGTTAGTGATACAGGGTGGTGAACTTTATCACCAGTTCCATCTGTAGCTGGGCAGCGTACTCATGGAACATCACCTTTTCCAGTAATTTTCGGGTTAGAAAGTTTTGTGGGTTTTTTTGCTGAGCTTTCTCACTCTCGTTGCACAGAGCAGAGCTGCAGCTGCAGAGTCTTCCCCTGGCACACTAACTGGAGTGCTAACAATGTCTCCCTCGGCACACAAAGCAAGCCTACATCCAGGCAGTACTTTCCTCTAACTGCATGGGAGCTGTACAGGCTGTGCATTGGGGAATTTTTTTTGTTTGTTTGAATTCCTTTGGTCTCTTGGAAATCGGCATGCAAGGGCCAGCTCTCCTAACAGGCCATTTACACTTTAAAAATCCGACTGCTGCCCTGCCTGGGCTGCAGGGCCCAAGCCTGGCAAGTATTCGACGTTCTACTTACGCGTGATTTGCAGGGACACAAATGTTATGTGTCTTGTTTTCAAGAGGAGAGTGGCTAAATAATCGAATGTGTGTGTAGAGATCCTTGGGGCTTTGAGCCCCCTCCTGGAGGTACCACACCAGGTGAGTGATCAGCTTTCGCTGCAGGTGCAGAACTGACATATACTTGCTATTTCCCAGGTGGTGGGTGAATTGATTTCTTAGCCTTTGTAAAGCCCGGGCATGCTTCCAGACAGTAGTGCAAAGTATGTTTTGTATGTCTCAACTTAGTTTTGAGGCTTTTATTCCTAGGCCTCATCGTTTACCACAGCTGTAGCTATGAAATAATTTCTAAACTGCTCCTTCTGGAGAGCGAGGGATTATGATGGAGCTGGCCGGCTATTGAGCAGCGGCAGCAGCAAGCTCTGACAGAGGCCTGGGTTCGAGAAGCAGAGGGGGGCAGCTTCCTTATGCAAAGCAGCACGTGCCTCTTGGTTCAGGGACTGAAAGGCCGGAGTGTATGGCAAGAAAGTTATTTATCATGTTTGTTCTGCCCTTTCGACACTTCTGCTGTTCTGGTTGTTATCGCCGATTGTCTGTACTGGTGAATAGCAGTTTTAAACAGCTGTGCAATTGCATTAAATTAGTTAAGGGTACCACAGCCACAGCGCCTCAGGACAACACATATGCTCCCGTTAGTGTCAGGATTCTGCTCTGGCAGAAATCATCAGGCTCCAGCGATTATGGAGAAGTCTTTCATGGCAACCTCTTAGCCCCTAAGTTTCTGTGCCACACCTTCCTATCTATCTGGGTGTTTTTGCTTTTGTTGCAGGACCGAGAGGACAGACGGGGGTGCTTTGCTGCACCCGAGGTCAGAAAATGCCACATAGCCCCTGCCAGGTGAGCAAAACCCATGTATTTATTGCCAAGTAAGAAAAGAGAACGGTGTCAATGCGAGAGCGGGCAGAGAGCACGCTGGTGCCAGCAGCGGCTCTGCTCTGGCTGAGGGGTCTCTACTGAGGAGGAGCAGGGGGTGGGAGAGCAAGGCTGGCTTTGCCGGCCGGCTGCAGCTGTGCCGGAGTCCTGCTGGCAAAGGCTGCCCAGTGAGCTGAAGCTTCTGAATGGGCATGTCCTTGCTCTGCCATCTTTCCAATTAGCGTCCCTGGCTTTTGAAACTGCACCAGTTGCAGGCTCCTGTGTGCGAGCTCCAGATCCACCTCTGCTGTTCTAAATTTTGTACCTTTTTTGGCAAACATAAACCTCTGAACCCAACCTTTGTCCCTGCCCAGCCTAACAGTTTTGGGCTAACGTACCTCTGAAATGCAGTTTAGCTCAGTTTTTCCAGAGAGCCTTAAAGCTGTCCATAATAAAAACATTTCCACGCTTGGTGGTTCTGTTACTAGAGTCAGATCAGGACAGCGTGAGAGCAACCGCCGACACAAGTCACTCGGGTTCCCAGCTAGGAGTGTGCGAGGTAATGGCGCAGGTTGCAACCGGCAAGAACTCACCAGTGCGTCAGGAAAGAGGCATCCTTACAAGTGAATAATGCAGCAGCAGTTATTAACTGTCAAGTTCTGTGCATTTCCTTAGATTTGCGGATTAAAGCTACTCGCATCTGCAGCTAGGCTTTTGGGCCACAAGGTCTTGAGAGCTGTACTGAAGAACCTTTGTACCTTTGTGCCTGTCCTGTGATCTCCTTTTTTGGGCCATTCCCATAAAGAGGAGTATTTCATCCTTTCTGTAGCAATGCTTCACTTTTGAGTCCTAAGATATATTATCAGCTCTTCTTAGCTATAAATAACCACAATGGCAATCGGCTGCTTTGTGCTTTTTATCCAAAAAAGACACCATTTCCAGAAGCGGCAGCACCAACAGCCTCTTCTGCCCGCCTTGGTCTCTATTGAGCACTTCGCACCCAAGCACTGACCAAAGAAATACTTGCACGTTATGAGCCGGCGTGCAGCAAATCTGCTTCCGTGCCCTTGTCTTTTTGTAATCCTTGCATTTCTAGTTGTGGCTTGTGATTTTCTTCTTAACTTAGCAGCTTTCAGGGAGAGTACCTGACTCTCAGAATAGTTCAAACTTCTGCAACTCTCTTTCCTCTAAGTTCTGCCTTCCCCGGTTACCCTCCCCCAAACCTGTACAGACATTTAGTACATCAGAGTCATGGAGAAATAGATAATTGAATATTCACACATGCAGAAACAACACAGGCAGAATGTGGAACAATGTGGAAACAAGCGCAAAAAGAGGCGGCATCTGTTTATTGAAAATTAGAATGTAGAATAAATTAAGAGGGCAAGGTTAAAACACTTCATCTGCAGGCAGAGTTTGTGAGGGAGGAAGACTTTGCAGGAAGTTTACTACATAAACTAGATAAAGGGCTTATACAGTTTTATTTTTGCAAAACGGGCTTTTTTTGTTGGTTTTTTTTCTGAGGACACATTTTAAAGGGAAAAAAGGTGTCCACATAAAGAATGGTTTTCCAATAGAGATGGCTATATACGGTTGTTTCACAGTAATGCCAGAATTAAAACGCTTGTTAACTCTTACTGCGGGTAGACTAGGCTATGTGGCAGTA